TTCACTTCCCCCCCGCTTTATTTTTCGTTTGACTCTCTCTTAATTTTTCTTGGTCTTCTGAGTTCTGTTCACTGTATTACATCATCAACTTCTCATCTGACCTCATGTGCACCGAAATTGTGAAATTTTGATCTTCTCTTATCTAATTACGTAACTATTACTAATTTTCTTTTGTTACCATTCCAACAACAACACAACTGTTAATTAATTTTTTTCAAGGTACTTCTCTCTAACAAGTAAATCGCAACGCCTTATGTTCACTATGACGCTCTGACAATATGCTCCTGCTAATGGACAAAAGTTTGTTAAAAAAAAATTGTACACGTTTTTATTTTATTAAAGAATTCAGGTTGTACGCAGCTGCTGATGGGAACCGAAGAAAATAGTTGGTGTAGATTATTCTGTGCCAATATTTCCTCTTTCTTTTTTTCAAATATATAATTAAAGCTACATAGGTCGTTCTATGCACGTCCAATTCATTTAAACATGTTATAGAACTCTATCCCTAGAGCAACAATGTCTGAGAAGAGGCGAAAAACTGTATCCCAGCATCTCAGGTGGTGTTTTTACTCCCAATTTTTCTATGCTGCAGAAGCTGCCCCTCCCCCCCCTTTCTGCCATCCCCCGTCAACATATGCATTGAGAAGTTGGAGAGGAATTATGTGTTCAAAGGAAACGAGTTCAACATTTACACCTATAATAGATCTAGTTCTGTTTGACTGCTTGCTTAGTTGTCATTTTCTTTCCCATCCGCTTCACAATTAAGTTTGATTTTATGCTCATCCTACATATACCTACCTTTGTGTTTGTATTACGTATTACGCAATTATTTTTCTAATCCTATGTAATTTTATTTCTATGCCTCTTGTGATCTCTATATTCACACACCTTTAAGCTTTCACTTCAAGGTCAAAATTCTCAACACAACTTTAATCCTACACCATTTTGTTACTATGTTGGATTAAATAAAACTTGTAACTATGTGAATAATATGTATTAGAAAATGAGATTGTACAAATGCTTTGTGAAGATGAAATCTATGAGTTGCTAGTTCATTTCTCTCTAATGTCCCAATGCATACCTTCCAAGATGTTTACTGCATAAAACAGTTAGTGGAGTACAAATAATATGATGATGGTGAGGCCTGCTGGAGATATTCACCACCCAGATGCATATCACACTGGAAGACAGATATGTAGGCTACAGACTGTAGGTTTTGTGGGGATTTCGAATTGTTTGATTGTCGTCACAATCCAACTGGACAGCTGTCTCTTCTTAGTGTTTGGGACTGTTCAGCACCCACAACATGGCTGCTACGGATAGAACTCCGAGGCCTACAGGTTATGAGCTCGTGAACCATTCAGGAACTTACGTTCTCCCTCCCATGTTATGTTGCAGTATGGTAGGGTGAGTAATACGGAGTTTAGGCGTTGACTGATAAGTAAGGAGAGAAAGTTAGTCAATGGGGTGGTGAAGCTTAATCGACTGAGACGGTTAGCACATGTGTTACAACATGCCCAGCCATCACCTTCCCAGATGAAAATGTTAACTGACATTGGATGGATCAGGTTGGAGAAAAGAAAACTAGTGTTGGTCGAACCAAAACATGGCTTCATCAGTCAATGGAATTAACAACAATTAGAGTTTAAGCCAGCCAGCCACCTAGGAAGGTGTAGAACCAATGAAGGCTGGAGACAATTAATGATATGGCTGGCGCAGATGTATTCACTCTTCGTGATTTGCCACTCGTATCCAATGAAACTCTATTGTTCTTGCACATTACTATTCTTTTTTCCTTACTCACACTTGTGTTTATTATCTCTCTTTTGATGAACCCCTTTTTACTATCTTCTCTTGCTTTGTGTGCTATACAAGGAGGGCGAGTGGAGACTCGAACCGCTGCACAACTCTGCAAACTTCCAGCCACTTCAGCTGGAATTCAATGACTCCTGAATTCTAACCATGTCAACTCGTGATATACAGACAGCGCTCTTCGCTCATTTGATGACGCCTTCGATAAGCACTCCCTCCTCACTTCACACTTTGATTTGACATGGTGGACCCTATTGGTCACAACTTCCTAAAGCAGTTTCAGACAATCCCCATCTCCATTCAATAGCCACCAACCAATGAGCTGGAGATTGACATTCATATTATAGGTCAACCTAAAGGTACTAGAATCGGTCCCTGTTGGGGTCATGAGTGTGCGAACGGATGAAGAGTTTCGCTGCCCTCTCTGCCGGTTTTCAATGATCTCGCTTAATATTTGTGACAAAAATTTAAGATTTTTTTTTCAAAAAGACTACACTAAGCAGTTTTACAATGTGGTGTATTACACATGTAGCTTTTGGCCTACACTTGTAAATCGATAGATAAATTCATGAATAGATGATAAGGTATAACTGTGTGGGTGGCTGCAACAGAACTATTAAATCGAAGAAAAAGGGTGGTCTTCAAATTTCAAGTAAGAAGGCTACAACAGTGTACAACCTACCACCGCCTCCTCTGTGATAATACAAACTTTTGTGTGCGTGTATGCGAATGAAGAAGTGGTTGAGCCTACTCAATTCAATTTGTGGGTTATACTCTGCTACAGACTGTAATTAAAGTAAAGGCACAATTTTTCCGTGTTTATAAATTTGAGTAATTTTAGACACATCCATACATACACACACACGCACACAAACACCCAAAAAATGGACAATCGTTAGGCGTTGTGCAAATCATCATCATCAGTAAAATTCGTGACTGAATCATACAGATAGCAAAATGAGCAAACAAACAAATAAAACAAACATGAGTCATACACACTCGGTTACAAGTATTAGAGAGAACTATGACTCATAATACAAACAAACACTGCACACACACACGCACTCCACCACATGGTTTGTGCAGGAGATATTATACATTTATCATCATTACACCAAAAATGTTAAAATACTCAAATCTACGTGTGTAAATTCAAATGAATTCCAACTGTCCATCAGAGAATTAAAAATTCGTCAGCATAGGGAAGTAAAACAGTTATCATCTTTCAAGAGAGTTAGTTTCTCCGATCACAGATTGAATGAGTTAGCGAAATATTGAAAACCACCAGGGAGTATAGGTACAACTGTTTCGTCCTAGCCTGGGACTCTTCATCAGTATTCACACACCAGTGTCCCTTAAAAATTTATCAGATGCTCGCTATTGACTGGCTAGAGAACGAAGTTTCCTGGACTTTTAGTGAGAAGAACTCGTGACCGATTGGTGGCATTCACACCAGGACCAACCTGATGACAAATACTCCTCGAGGATATTGGTTGGTGGTCGCGTTAAAATCACAGATTGATTGAAGTTGAAATTCATGGGTCATTGAAAGAGATCCCAGTGTCTGAATGGTCTACGAGCTGGCTTTATAACCGGAAGATCCTGAGGTTAGAACTCTGATAGCTGCCTACCTCTGGAAGAGTCCCAGACTAGGACGAAACAGCTGTCCCTATACTCCCCGGTGGTTTTCAGTGGTACTCTCACTGATATCAACTCCTGATCAAATTCAAAAATAGTTGTCTTTCTCCTGGACTGCATATTATAATCAACAGCCGCCCACTTCGCTGGCTCTATACTGCAGATCAGATGGCTGGCTGACCAGAAAGAATTAGCACCAAGAAACTCTGCAGATGAACCAACCAAGATCATATTGCTACAAAGAAAATAGAGATGGGTCGGATATTCACTGAGGAGGCCATCGGGTAACATCGCGCATCGGGCCAACACTCGAGTGGAAGCCGAACGGGAAACAACGAGTTGGGCATGGGTTCGAGGGTGACATCGATGAGATAGTGGGACCAGTTGAGGAGGTCTGTAGAAAACAGGACAGCGTGGGGACGTACTACTGTTGAAGCCCCATTACTTTCCACTCGAAACACAAGGGAATCATAATAATAATAATAATAGTAATAGTGATTTTAGTTATTCTAGATGGATATACTCCCATTCATTTTATTAAGAATTAAACGAAAATCTGAATGGTGATAGCATAGCAACCAACATGTTGATCTCTGAATTACAAGTCCAGTGAACTAGCTACTAGCTAAGAATTGCAAAATCGAGAAGTGCTAACCAGGTGGTGGTCACCATTTGTTTGCAATCACCTCACCCAATATGCTCAACTGTTACATGTGCCTCACACAAACCCGCTGGCTGTTACTGTTGCTCAATTGAGTCTTCTACGATTAATCGTAATCATACTGAATTTACTGGAGGGGAACCCAAATGTCGAATGATGGTAAAACTAAATGTGAGATAATTTCAGGGTTTCCCACAAATCTGCAATATTCAAGAGTTTGTTTGTAGTCATTTGACTGTTTAAAATTTGATCACGGATTGATATCAGTTAGAGAGAACCGTTGTCAATCATCCAGGAAGTACTGGACGTATGTTTCATCCTAGGTTAGAACTAGTCGGTCTGGATTCAACATAGAACTTGACACCGAAGTGCAGTAGTTCGAGTTGCCACTAGAACTAGTCGGTGGAATGCAACCCACTGGGGTTCGAGTCGAGAACGCCTCGGTAGACCACTCGGCCATTGGAAAACAACTCAGTGAACAGTGTATAACATTCTAACTTCTGGCAATTAGTGATTTTAGCACTAATGGCACCAGCCAATGTCACCCGTGACGGGTATTCGTCTTCACTTCCAGCCGGATGGACCCCACTAGGCACGACTTCTCTTGCTAGGACTCCAGGAAACTCCCTGCTGTAGCCAGTAGTCCCTAGCGAGCATCAAATTAATTCTCAAGAGTTTATTTCTAGGGATTTGACCTTGTTTGAAGTTTAGTCACACAGTGATATCAGTTCGGGAACCACCGAAGACCAGGGCGTACTGTACTGTAATAGTGATGCCTCATATAAGTTTACAAGCCTGTTTTATATGCTTCGTTTAAAAAAAACATCCAACTTATTCGAATACAAAAACAAAGGGAAATCTGACTACCATCCAAAGTATTACCACTTACTGTCGTTGAAATGTTTGAAATGTTTCTTTCTCTTTAAGTTCCTGTATTGGATCATTCCCGTGAGCACGTTCTTTATCATAAACCATGTATGTTTCCCCTCGATCTCGTGTACATAACCAAATACTTAATCCAATGACAACTATTACGATAATTACACCCAATATAACAGCAGCAATCCATGCAAGACTTGCAGTTGCTAAAAAAATAAGAAATACACAAATCAATAGATAAATAATAATGATAAAAAACATGTTTAATATAATTGAATTTTTGATTTTGCCGTCGATTTATTGATTGGACCGAAGCGTTCGGTCTTAGGTTGACATGTCGGCTTCTTGTGCAGATGCTTCGAGTATGTCTGGGCATTTAATTAGTGGATGGTGACTAGCAGTGGAATCCAGGATGCGGAGTTCGTCAGCGAACGACCCGTTGCACAAGAAGTGGCTCTCGTGACCCAAGTGGTCTAGTGGATAACGCTTTGGTGTTTGAAACTATGGGCACTGGGTTCGAGCCTCGGCGGTGGAAACATCATCACTCACTGAGAAATGCAGCACATCCAGTGGCTGACGAGTCCCAAATAGGACGAAATGAGCACCCTGGATTCCACTGCTAGTCACAATCCACCAATTAAATACGTGTTTAATATGTTAAAAATTGGATGGAGGATTTCATCATGAGCTGACACCACTTAGGGAATTCCGAGAAAATATATTGCACTGATTAAGGCACTCTACTCGTACTCATACAGCCAGGTGAGGGCTTACGGCGAGCTGTCATCTGAACTGGTGACGACCAGTGGTGTCCGTCAAGGATGCCCATTATCTCCTTTTCTATTCAACTTCATCATAGATGTGTTAATGGACTTAACCCTAAGCGACTTCAGCGATTCAGGGATTGACTTGCTACCTGGGAATAATCTCGTTGACTTGGAATATGCAGACGATATAGTCCTTCTAGGCGAAGACGCTGACGAAATGCAGGTCTTCTAAACACCTTGAGCCGCAATCTACGAATGTTTGGCATGCGATTCGCTCCCGCCAAATGCAAGATGATGTTACAGGACTGGACTACATCGACGCCTAGTTTAAAAATAGGAAGTGAAGTGGTAGAGCACGTTGACCGCTTCACTTATTTAGGAAGTACCATCAACCCCAACGGGCTGATCTCTGACGAAATCTCAGCACGAATACAAGGGGCTCGTTTCGCATTTGTTAGTTTACGCCGACTCTGGCGTAGACGAGATGTTCGACTATCGACCAAAGGGCGGGTGTACTGCTCATCAGTCCGCTCCGTCCTCCTTTATGGCTAGCTGTGAGACCTGGCCACTGAGAGTGGAAGACATGAAAAGACTAGCTGTCTTTGATCATAGGTGCCTGCGCTCTATTTCCCGTGTAAAGTGGCATAATAAGGTGAGTAACATGGAGGTTATGCGTAGAGTTCTAGGTAAACAGGGGAAATCAATCGACGAAGTTGTGAAGTTACAAAGACTGAGATGGTTAGGACATGTGTTACGTATGCCAAGCCATCGCCTCCCTCGACGAGCTATGTTAGCGGATATAGGGTCAGGCTGGAAAAAAGCTAGTGGCGGTCAAACAAAACTTGGCACCAGTCAATGAAATCCACAACAGTTGGTCTAAGCCACGTAGAAAGGTGTAGACTTCCAGGCTGGGGTCCTCGGGACGGTAAAAATCTATGGCTGGAAACAATTGGTGACATGGCTCAAAACCGTTCTCAGTGGCGCAGATGCATCCACTCCCTGTGACTTATGATCTTCAATGAAACTGTTTTGTATTTCTTTATTACTCCTTTGTCTCACACCTCTGCTCACTGTTTCTATTATGCTTTTCTTGTACTTTCTTCTCTTGCTTCGCGTGCTACACGGAATGTGGCGACTTGAACTTCCGCACATTTGTGTAAAGTTCTATGTCGAAAACAGACAGACTTAGAGAACCACTGGAAAACCTGGGAGTACTGGGCAGCTGTTTCGTCGCGGCTTGGGACTCTTCATAAGTATATGGTGAGTGATTATACATTTTGAGTAATTATTTTGTCAATCATTAGAACAGTGAAAATAATATTAAAATAAAAGGTTTTCAGAGAATAGTTACTCTTTTAGGCTTCGAACTTTGCGACTGAACCTACTCGAATAACTTTCTTTACGAAACTAATAGTTCGTATGAACGTGAAGGATAAGCTATTACTGCTGGATGGCTTCATCAATGTGTATTTCTACCAATTTACCTGCTTGTGTGGAGCTAGCTAAGTATGTCGGCTGTACCTAGGCGTTTGCTATCCAAACATATCATCGAACACTTACTTTCATGGTTTTATAAATCAGAAAAAAGAGATTTCACTCATCCAAAAAGCTCTATTTTGGAACACTTGACCGAAGAATCTGGATACCAAGCTAACCAACAAGAGAACCTAAAAGTTATCTACAGAATACGTGCGAATCTTTCTGAAATGAGTATGAATAAAACTTCTTAAAACTCCACAGAAGCAATAGCAATTCACATGTTAAATCTATAACCCTGCATACACTAGAAGAAGTTTGTTCAGTCGTTAAATCTACAATGAACCTGATCTGTCTTAATACAGGATACTTACAGGATTTCATCAGGAGCTGAAATTAGTTAGAGAACCATTGGAAAACCAACTGGGAGTACTGGACAGCTGTTTCGTCAGCCAAGTTTGAGACTCTTCATCAGTACACACCCACCACAGGGGTTCGAACCCAGGACCTTCTCGTTGGTTACAAGGCCAGCGAGCTCGCATACCATTAAGCCACTGGGACCCGATCCAATGACCAGCCCATGAATTCTAACTTCTGCCAATTCACGACACATAGTGCGACCCCTAGCTAATGTAATGTCTTTGGCAAGTATTTGTCCTCACACACCTTGTAACCAGAAGAACCTGGGTTCGAAGCCCTGTGGTGGGTGTGTACTGATGAAGAGTCCCAAACTAGGCTGATGAAACAGCTGTTCAGTACTCCCAAATGGTTTTCCAATGGTTGCATAAGCAACGACAGCTCATGATGAAATCCTGTAACCAATCAAGCAAATCCCTACAAACCAACACTTGAACAGGTTACTTAGTTTTGTCATTTGTTCTTTTAATCTGATTCATTTCTTCCCCCACCCCTTATTAAATCTCTACTCCTTATTATCACTGTTGTCAACTTTAATTTCTCATTCAATTTTAGTTGAATTCTACTCAACCCCGTCAGCTATATTACGTCACGCAATTTACTTATCTTAGTTTCTACCCGATTTCCACCACGTTCATTCTGTCTGGATTCAACATAGAACTTGTCACCGAAGTGCAACACTTCGAGTTGCCACGTTCCAAATACCACACAAAGGTAGGTAGACAAGAAGATGAGTAAAGAGAATCAATACAGTCTGACAAGTATAAGAGTGGAACAAAATGGGTAATGGTAGAAAGGAATATGAAAGATTACAGAGACTGAATACATCTGCGCTGGCCATTAACAACGATTCTGAGCCATGTCACCTATTGTCTCCAGCCACTGATTCCTAGAGTCCCGAGGCTTCCAAATCCGGGAGTCTGCATCTCCCTACCTGACTCAGTTTAACTGTCAAGGATTTCATGGATTGATGAAGCCATGTTTTTGTTTGGCCACCACTGGCTCTTTTCCAACCTGCACCACGTTCATTACGTAATTTGTTATCCAAAAACCTACAATTGTAATAACACTTCTTTGGAAATATATTCCTTTTGTTGCTAAGGTATATGCGATCGTACAACTTGAGAATGATATCATCGAAAAAAGGACTGAACCTTTTTTGAACGCCTTTTCTTTTAAAATAATATTAGTAAAGAGTTTAGAAACAGTATTGAAAAGACTGACTGACTGACTGAATGGATGTGTTACAACAAGGAATTTTACATCAACGAGCAGCAACACTTTACCGTCACTACACTTTATGTAGCCTATCAGAAAATTCCATAGAACTATAATGAACACGAATATACATGACAAAGAAGAGTAATGTGTGAAGAAACACATGGAAGATTACAACCAGGAGTGTGAATGCATCTGAGTCCCATTTAAGAAGGAATTTGAGCTACACATCATCACCAATATTCTCAAAAGTCATTGGTTCTTAGTATTCCCCCCCCCCACCCCACCCAACAAGAAGGAGGTCTACGCCTACACCTCTATATGACTTGCTCAAGTCAGCCATCACAAAAGGCTTTAATATGCATTGATCCCAAGCTTTAGTTTGATCACTCTTAGCTATTTTCTAGCTTAATCCTATGTCAGCTTATGTTTCTCGTCGAGGAAGGGCGATGACTAGGCATGCGTAACACATGTCCTAACCATCTCTTTCAGTCGATGTCACTTCACAGCCTCGTCTATTTATTTCCCCTCCCACCTACCTAGCACTTGACGCCTAATCTCAATATTTCTCACCCTATTATACCACTTCACACGGGAGATAAAACGCAGGCACCTATGATCAAAGACAGGTAGCTAGCCTTTTCGTGTCTTCCACCCTCAATGGCAATTTCTAGCTCTCAGTCATAAAGGAGGAAGGAGCAGACTGCTGAGCAGTACACACACACTGTTTGGTTGACAGCCAAACGAGCCTTCTATATCCTTGCTGAGATTTCGTCAGCGATCAACCCACTGGCGTTGGCTGATACAACTTCCCAAATAAGTCAAGCGATCAACACGCTCTACCGTTTCATCACTACCATTCTCTTCAAGCCAGGAGTCGATGTAGTTCAGTTTTATAGCCTCGTCATCTTACATTAAATAGGAACCAAATAGCATGCCAAATATTCGAAGATTTCCACACCTCAATGTGTTCACAAAAGACTCTGTATTTTATCAGCGTCTTCAGGACCTAGAAGGACTATATCATCCTCATAAGCTTAGTCAACAAGACCATTCCTTGATGATCAGAATTCATCCCCGCCAAGTTGATGAAGGATTAACTCCTGTCTCCTACTCCAATACAATTCAGCACAGATGAGATCCAGATGCCGACAACTAGATCCTCATTCTATTGAATTCATCAAGTTAATCTCAAATTATCTCATGAATAATTTGTAATCTAATTCATGAATAAATAGACACAGAAATTATGTTAACTTTAGAGTAGTAAAATCACTATTACAGTCAACTGTGAAGTAGTTCCGGCGGATGAGTAACACACTCACACA